TTTTTTTTTTTTTTTTTTTTTTTTTGGCACTGGGGCTTCCCGTAAACCTGCCCGGGGGTTCATGCCCCGGGAGTGTATCCGGGCACGACTTCGGTGCCCGGTCGCCCGGACGAACAGCCCGGGTCGACAGGGAGAAAGAGACAAGGACAGGTAAACAGTCCTATGTCGTGCACCGAGCGGAAGCCACGTCAGCATCCGGATCGGAGGTCGGGACTGGGGTGGTAAGCGTTCCGTAAGCCTTAAGAACTTTCACGGAAATTACGTGGTTAATGATGAAGGGAGATGATGAGGATGAGGATTATGATGATGAGGAGGATGAGGATGATGATGATGATGATGAGGATGAGGATGAAGATAATGACGAGGACGAGGATGATGATGAGGATGATTAGCGCGGCGCCATCAGATTGATTATGTGAAAAAAACGGTGCTGATTAATACTGTAATTAAATCGCGGAGCCGGCTGAGCATTCTTTGGATTGGGATGCGCGGCAGCAGAGACAAAGAATAGGATTGAAAAGTAGCTAGGCCAATCGCTCGCCACATGTCCACGTACGTTAGTTAGCTCATGCTCGTGGACAGCATTCACGTATCCCGATCCCGACTTGCCTCGTCGACATAGGCCATGCTATAGCGCGCACACACTCCTCGACGCAAGTCGGGATTGTGAAACGTCCCAGTAGTTAATTAAGAGCCTTTCCGCTCTCGCGATAATGGTGATAATGTTGATGATGATGATGATGATTAAGATGAAGAATTGGGACAGAAAAAAAAGAAAAAGAAAGGAAGGGGGAGGGGAGGGGGAGGAGGACTGCGTTCTGTCTCGCCACGTGGCAGACAGACACGTGGTGATCGACATGGAATTGTGTTCCAGACGACGAATCATTAATCCAGGGATTCACTATATTATTATTAGTGTTATTTATATAATACAGTATTTTACTATTTTCCCTCTTCCATTCTTTGTTTGTCCTCTCTCTGTCTCTTTTCCCTGTCCCTGTCTCTTATACACATCTAGATGTGTATAAGAGACAGAGACAGTACCGTCCGACTCATCAGGAGGTCTAATGTGTATCTCATCAGGATATAGAGGTTTT